AGAGGCAATGGTATGGACGATAGCGGATATCAAGGGGATAAGTCTTAATATATGCACTCACAAGATCCTCATGGAAGATGATTGTAAACCTAGAAGAGAAGCTCAACGAAGATTAAATCCTCCCATGATGGAAGTTGTTAAGAAAGAAATAATCAAACTCCTTGATGCGGACATGATTTACCCGATTTCCGACTCCAAATGGGTTAGTCCGGTCCAAGTGGTTCCCAAGAAAACGGGAATCACAGTTGTTGAGAATAACAAGGGCATAATGGTACCCACTCGAGTTCAAAATGGATAGAGGGTACGCATTGATTATAGAAAGTTAAATTCAAGCACATGAAAAGATCATTTCCCTCTTCCTTTCATCGACCAAATGCTCGAGAGATTGGCGGGAAAATCGCATTATTGTTGCCTCGATGGCTACTCGGGTTTTCATCAAATACCCGTTGCCCCCGAAGATCAAGACAAGACGACCTTCACATTCCCTTTTGGCACATTTGCCTACAAGCGGATGCCATTTGGATTATGCAATGCCCCCGCCACATTCCAAAGATGCATGGTGAACATTTTTTCCGATGTAGAAAATATAATTGAAGTATTCACGGACGACCTCACGGTGTATGGCAATTTGTTTGACGAATGTTTGGATAATCTTGAGAGGATCTTGAAAAGGTGCATTGAGAAGAAGTTGGTGTTAAACTTTGAGAAGTGTCACTTTATGGTCAATCAAGGCATCATCTTGGGTCACATTGTCTCCAAAAAGGTAATTGAAGTTGATAAAGCCAAAATTGATGTCATCCAAACCCTCCCTTACCCAACATGTGTAAGAGAAGTGCGATCTTTCTTGGGCCATGCGGGATTCTATAGAAGATTTATCAAAGATTTCTCGAAGATCACGCGACCAATGTGCCTCCTTCTTCAAAATGATGTTGATTTTGACTTCAATGTTGCATGCAAAGAAGCCTTTGACAAGCTCAAAGACTTTCTCACCTCCGCCCCTATAATCCAACCTCCAAATTAGGAGCTTCCATTTGAAATCATGTGCGATGCGAGCAATTTCGCCATTGGAGCGGTCTTAGGTCAAAAGGAGGGCAAAGCATCACATGTCATCTACTATGCCTCCAAAACCTTAGATAATGCTCAAGCCAATTATTCCACTACCGAGAAGGAACTCTTAGCCATTGTATTCGCCTTGGAGAAATCCCAACAATATCTTCTCGGGACAAAAGTGATTGTGTATTCCGACCATGCCGCCTTGAAATATCTCATGACCAAGAAAGATGCCAAGCCACGGTTCATTCGGTGGATTCTTCTCTTACAAGAATTCGATCTTGAGATAAAGGACAAAAGTGGTGCCGAAAACCTAGTTGCGGATCATCTAAGCCGGTTGAACATTGGTAATTCTTATTCTTCTTTTCTTGATGAATTCCTGGATGAACATCTCTTCTACATTTCAAACACTATTCCATGGTATGCGGATATTGTGAATTACTTGGTTACGAAAGAAATTCCCCACGCGTTTACCAAGCACCAAAAGGCCAAGTTGAAGAGTAATTCCAAATACTACATATGGGACGACCCTTATCTTTGGAAACATTGTCCGGATCAACTAATACGGAGGTGTGTTCACCAAAATGAAGTCGAATCCATCTTGAAGTTTTGACATGAGTATGCATGCGGAGGACATTTTGGTCAAAACAAAACCATGCGAAAGGTGCTCGAATGCAGACTCTATTGGCCACAATGTAAAGAGATACTTATCTATTTTGCAAGAGTTGTGATAGATGTCAAAGAATGGGAACAATATCCATGAAGAATGAAATGACTCAAAACCCCATTCTCATTTGTGAGATCTTTGATGTATGGGGAATCGATTTCATGGGCCCCTTCCCCGTTTCTTTTGGATATACTTATATACTCTTGGCGGTTGATTACGTATCAAAGTGGGTGGAAGCAAAGGCTACAAGGCATGATGATTCCAAAACGGTAATTGACTTCTTGAAGTCAAACATTTTCGCAAGATATGGTGTACCAAGAGCTTTGGTGAGTGATAGGGGCACTCATTTTTGCAATAAAATGATGGAAGCCATGACAAAGCGCTATGGTGTCACACATCGGATATCGACCGCTTATCATCCACAAGCAAACGGCCAAGCCGAAGTGTCAAATCATGAAGTCAAACAAATTCTTGAGAAGACGGTCAACACTACACGAAAAGATTGGAGCTTGAAGTTAGAAGATACATTGTGGGCGTATCGAACCGCCTACAAAACTCCAATTGGTATGTCTCCATTTCGCCTCGTCTATGGAAAGTCTTGTCATTTACCGGTGAAATTGGAACACAAAGCGTATTGGGTGGTTAAAAAGTGCAATTTCAATCTTGAAGAAAGTGGAAAGCACCGAAAAATGCAACTTCAAGAAATCGAGGAGTTGAGGAACGAGTCTTATGAAAATGCAAGCATCTACAAAGACAAGACGAAAGCGTTTCACGACAAGCACATCACTCGAAAGCATTTTATTCCGGGCCAAAAAGTTCTTCTTTATCATTCACGCCTTAAGCTATTCCCGGGAAAGTTGCGATCTCGATGGCACAGACCTTTTATTGTTATAAAAGTGTTTAATCACGGTGCGGTTGAAATAAAGAGTTTGCACACAAATCAAATATTCAAAGTGAGCGGGCACCGCTTGAAACCATTCTATGAAGGCTTCGACACGGGAGAATTCGACAAAGTAACATTGGAAAACCCGAATTACGATGATTGACGGAGGCGGGGCTATGTCTTGGCAAAGACGTTAAATAAATGCATTGTGAATAAATAATCTCCGCTTGAAGTTTTGGGTGTTTCTAAACTTGAAGTTGGCCTAAAAATAAGCATATAAAAGTCTTCCAGTGATTTTGGCGAAGTTTGAAAAATTCCAAAAATTTGGCTTATGCGCGGGTACCCGCGCGACTGACCCCAGCCGCGCAGGTTCCGAGTTCCAAATTGCACCAACATGGAGTGCTCTCTGATTGTTGCGCGCGGCCAGTATCCACCCTCGCAAATGTTTGCGCGACCAAGAACAAAAATTATACCTTCTTTGCCCGGCCACCTAATTTCACCCAATTTGCCCACCCCACCCGATAGCCCGCTCCAGACCCGCTATTCGACCCGACTTCGACCCATTTCTAACCCACCCTTATAACCCCTTAACCCGTTGGACTTTTTTTCCCCACCCTTGTGCCTACCGTCTCCAGCGCTCTTTATTCCTCCGACAGACGAAAACCGTTGCTCCCGACAAGCCTCCGACACTCCCGTCTACCATCAATCTCCGGCCGCCAGCGGTCGTCGCCACCTGCCGACGAAGATCTGCGCTGTCCGACTAACCATTCCGTCGTCACCACCGGTCGGCACGGTTCGCTCGTAGCCGCCGTCTGTCGCCGACAGCGACAACCGATTTCCCTCCCTTTCGTCACCAGAAAAACGCGATAATCGCAACCCAACAATACACCCCTCACCGCTGTTTTTTCGTCGGCGCTCTACTCCCGCCCTACTCCACATTTAATTCCGACCAAACCCCACCCATCTATTCGCCGGTAAACCGATCGACAACACCACACTACACCTCGCCGAAAAACTGTTAAAGCCCGATTTCGACACCACCTGCCACACAATTCCAAAATTTCTTGGGGCATTATTCACCAAACACTCCTCCACACTCCGATCTACTATTAATTTGGGGAAAACTCGTCGCCGGAAAACCTAGCTCCGCCGCCTTGATTTTTGATCAAAAATTTTCAAAAACTTTGTTTCTCACCGGTGTTTCAAAAGATTCAATTTTGCGGGTCCAATTCAAGCTTGGGGTGCGGTTCTTAACGAATTTCTTTTCGGGTTTCGACACTCGAACTTGGTACCTTTCTTTTAATCCTTTTGCATTCAATTTCTACTTTCATAGACTCATGTTATGCATTAGGTTGACTAGAATTAGACTTAGTTTGCATTGAATTGATTGGAGTGCATTAAATTGTGCCAAATTGCAAGTTTGGAATATTTGCCCGGTTTATATTCTTGTTATTTACATTGATTGGATTGGTGTGAGGCGAGTGTGAGGGATAATTTTGGCCAAGTTTTTGTGTTTGTTAGGTTCTATTGACAGGTTCAATGGCAAGGGACAAAACCATTCACGCAACTCACGGTTCTTCCCGTAAGGCTTCATCCTCGCGACCCACAAAGAAGGCGTCTACCGATCATGTTGATTGTGATGGTAATCTTACGCTCACTAGTGCACAAGTCAAGCAATTCAAGTCCAACCTCCAAAAACATGCAATCCGAGCCACTAAATTTTACCACCGAGAGTCGATGGTCACCCTTGGCCTTGATGAGTGCTTGCAACAACTGTTCTTCAACATTGGTTGGCACGATTTCCTATCTCTATCTGCGCGCACATTTAAGCAACCTACATTAGAGTTCCTTTTCACTTATGCACGGGATGACACGGCGGGGGTGCTCACATTTAAACTCCAAGGTCGACAGCACCGACTCACATACAACACCCTCAAAACTATCATGGGCACATACGATAGCGACAACACCGACATCTATAGCTACCAGTGGACTCAATTCAAGAGTGTGCCCAAAGTAGAGTTTTGGACTCAAATCACTAGTCTTCCAAACTTCAATCCAAGCCGACAAAAAGATCCTTACATTATCCATCCTTGTTGGAGAATCGCCCACCAAATCCTTTCAACTTCCATATTTGCTCGTCACGAGCCAGGACAAATCAACACAATCGAGCTTTATTTCCTCTATTAAATGAGTCATTGGCGTTGGTCTTGTCCCGGTTTCGCCACCTTTTTATTGGATAAATGTGACAGCATCCGCACAAAGACCACTGGCGATATTTGCATCGGAGGTTTCATTACCCTAATTGGTTTGAGTGCGGGTCTTCAATTTCCCGAGTCTGAGTATGTGCCAGTGGATGACCCACCTCTCTACCTCCTTGACTGCATAACTCTCACCCGGATGGCAGTTCTGATACCTCATCCTTCCCGTCATAACCATTTTTCTTGGCTCAATCATGTTAAGGAACCAGTTTATACTCTGCCTAATCCTAGCATTTCTGCCTTTTCCACCAGCGACCCCAAAACTTGGTTCTTGCCTGAAGAGTTACACGATGATGATGCAGGATATGATGATCAAATGCATGTCGACAACCCCAATATTGGTCGTCCATTCGAGGCCGAAGACCACTATGACCACCCAATCAGACAGTTGCCCCCACCGCCTTACTATGATCAGCCCTCGGGAGCACACTTTGAGCCACAACATGAGTACCAGTCTTCTCCTCAAAACTATGAGCCCGATCCTGAGCACGAATTCCCTCTTGATGTCTACCGTCAGCTTGCTGCCTTGCACCTCCAGGGCAACCAGAATACTGCATCTATTCGGCACATCCAGGAGCAGCAAGCCCAGACCCACAACTACATGGAGGATCTTTGGTATCATTTTCGTCCCGAAGGCGGTTACCGCCCTCGCGGGCCTCTTCCACCTTGATCCCGGTATTACGTTTTATTTGTAGTTAGTTTATTTACACTAGTTCTATTGGATTGCATTGGTGGTTGGATACAACCATTTCCCCGAGGATCGATACCTCTTTTTACCATTATATTACGTTTTATTTGCAAACAAAAGGGTGTAATTTGCTTGGTGGAATTGACATCCCACCATATAAACAAGTGAACTCTCCCCAAAATCGGGTACACAAGAGAAACAAGGGGGCTTGGCATTTTGCATGTGTTAGAGTATTCACTCAAGTTTGTTCATTGCATTTGGTGTTGTGTGAAGCATTTGAGGCATCACATTTGAGGTGCTAGGCTCACAAGGTTTCAAGGAACACTTTCAACAACAAGGTATGTAATTCTATCTTTCATTCAAGTAGAAATTGTTCCCCATGTATGCTAGATAGTAACATAACCTTGGAAATCAACTTTGCATGATAATTAGACAAACATAGATCAAAGGTTTATTAGGGTTGCATGTACACTTAGGAAGTGTTAGAATGCTCAAAACCCATCAGTGGTATCAGAGCCTAGGCTTACTTGTTTGATTTTTGTGCAAACTGCTTGAAAAATCGAGTTTTCTGATTTCTGCTCGTATGAACTCGCCGAGTCCATGGGGGGACTCGATGAGTCCATGAACAAATGCAAGCTACTCGTCGAGTCTGTTCATGCACTCAACGAGTAGAGGCTGCAGTTTTCAGAATTTCAATTTTTGTTGCTGGAAATGGACTAGGAACATTACCCTAAAATGTTTTAGTGTTTTAAAACTTGTTTTAGATGGTGTAATGTTCATGTTAATCCATTTGCAATAACAATTATCAAAATTACAAGTTTTTAAGTGTAATGTTTGATTCTTGAAAGTGTTCATATTCATGTTCTTGAACTTATGATGTTTATATGATCATAGGAATTATTTGTAACTTATGTGGTAGTTTAATTCTTGATCATAATGTGTTTTAATGGAGTCCACAACTTGTCCTCAAGTTATGGAAAACTAAAAGTCACTTTGTTTAAAACCATTAAAAGAACACATGAGTTATAAAAATGAAGAGTCTTCATTTTTAATACTCTATTAACTCATAAGTTATAAGAAATGAAAAGTTTTGAAAGTTTACAAAACTTGCCCTCAAGTTTTGGAACAAGTAAAGTCTTGATTTAAACATTAGTTCCAACCCTTAGAATTTTAAAAGTTAAAATTCAACCCTTATACTTTATAATATTATAAGTTAATAATATATATATATATATATATATATATATATATATATATATATATATATATATATATGTATAAGATCAAGTCGACTTACCGTTAGTAGGCCTCATTCACGAAGCCGGTCTATAAGGGGGGTATAAGGTTGTTGCCTATAAAATGGCAACTTAATGGGTGTCCACTCTCACCCACCGCTTCCTTGATCTGTGGAGGGTCGTTAGCCGAACGGGTAGGACAATGACTTAAAATCCTTATTAAAAGTATGATGATTATTATAAAGTAACTAAATGTTTTATTAAATTCCCAATCTTAGTTACTTTAGGAAAATGTGAATAAGGTGCTAATCCATGAAATTACACTTTACACTTTGTTTAAGTCGTTAGTGGAGCGTGTGTGGTTAACCGACACACTAACTTGGACTTAATAAGGTAGGTAAAGGGTGACTTAAGGTTTATTATAGGTCGATGGAGCGCGTGTGGTTAACCGGCACATCGATTGAGTAATAAACATTAAGGGTACCAAGTAACTTGCATGGTTACTTCACACCTCGTTTTGTGATCCTCGGTATCCCAGTCATAAAACATGGAGGGCACACTCGAGATTGAAACATGCCTTTGAAAAGTTCATTGAATCTCAAAAGAATCTAGGAATTTCTAAGAACCAAATTAAAACTTAATATTTTAATATTTCGTTTTTGGTGGAAATTGGTGAATCGTCATTCACCTACCTTTCAAATATGTTATTACTTAGATTACGACATACCTCTTCTAAGTATAATATATTGTGATTGGATCCTAGCCTTGACATTACATTTGGGTGTTTTGTTAAGGACTATCTCTATATCTAAACTAATATTTTCTTTCTTCTATTTCAGATGTCTTCAAACAATGGTGCTTCTGGCTCAAATCCTAATAGCTCCTTTTCTCTTATGAACTTGTGTGGAAAAGTCACTTTTGATGGATCCAAATTTAATGAATGGATCAGAAACATCAGAATGATTACCCGCTACGAGGACAAAGAATATGTCCTCGATAAGGAGCTTAAGGAGATTGATGAGACAGTTGCTACTCCTCAAGAGATCGCTGACTTTAGGGCACATGAAAGGGATGCCACCAAAGTGGCATGCATCATGATGGCCACTATGACAGCCGACCTCCAAAAGTCCTACGAGGACTTCTACCCTTTTGAAATGCACCAAGATTTGATGGAAAGATACCATCAAAGTGCATGACAAGAGAGGTATGAAATCATCTCCTCCATGATAACAACCCGAATGAAGGATGGTGAACCCATCACGGGCCACATGCAGAAAATGCAAAGGTTTGTGGACCGTTTGCTGAAGCTCAATGTGAACTTCTACAAGAAGCTTGCAATAGATATCATTTTGCACTCCTTACCATCGTGCTATGATTGATTCCGCATGACATATCACATGAAAAAGGAAGAGGTCGCACTCAGCAAACTTCAAGGACTCTTAAAGACCGCGGAAAGTGGTCTTAAGGGTAAGGCGGTTGGTACTACTCCAAATCCTACCAACTCCGCCCCTGTCTTGGCAATCGGGAAAGGGAAGGGTAAGAAGAGGAAGAGACCCTCGAAGGGTACCAAGGGTAAGACCCTTGAAGGCACCTCTTCTAGCGGAACCAAGAAAGGTTTCGTCACTCCTTCTGCTGACCCAAAAGAGGCTGAATGCTTCTATTGCCATGAAAAGGCACATTGGAAGCGGAACTGCCCAAAGTACTAGCAAGATGTGAAGGATGGGAAAGTTAAACCCAACCATGCAGGTATTTACACTATCTTATCTAATATCTCACCCTATTCTAACTATTGGGTCCTTGATACCGGTTGCGGTATTCATATTTGTTCTGATTTGCAGGAACTAAGAAGAAGTGAGAATGTGGAACAAGGAAGAATAAACTTGATCATGGGGAATAGGACAGTTGCACCCGTTACCAAGATTGGAGTTTATACTTTATCGCTAAGTAGTGGGTTTAGTTTAGATTTGAATAAATGTTGTTATTCGCCAGAAATGGCAAGAAATATTATTTCCTTTCATGCATTGTATAAACAAGGTTTTACCTTTTCATTTGATAATGAAGTTGGTTCTATTAATGCTTTCTTTAATAATGTTCTTTACTTTAAAGCATTTCCTTGTGATGGTGTGTATGAAGCTGTGTCTGTTGTAGATAACTTAGGAAATAATGTATTGTGTATTGATTCTATTAATAATAATAACTTGGATAAAGCATCGTTATGGCATTGTCGTCTTGGACATATAAGCAAGAAGCGCATAGGCCAACTCCAAAAGGGTGGAGTCTTGGAGTCATTTGACCTAAAGTCGGATGACAATTGCGAATCATGCTTACTTGGAAAAATGACAAAATCACCCTTCACTGGTTCTTGTAAAAGGGGTGAAGGTTTGTTGGATCTTGTACACACGGGTGTGTGTGGACCCTTCAAACATGCCACAAGGGATGCTAATCGTTATTATTTGACTTTTACAGATGATTATAGTAGATATGGATATGTCTACTTAATCAAGCATAAGTCAGAGACTTTCGAAAGGTTTAAAGAATTTAAACAGGAAGTCGAGAATCAATTGGGCAGGAACATTAAGATGCTTCGATCCGATCGAGGTGGTGAGTATCTTAGTGCTGAGTTCCTCGACTATCTTAGGGAATGTGGGATTGTCTCACAATTAGCACCTCCCAGGACACCGCAGTTGAATGGTGTGGCTGAGAGGCGTAATCGAACCTTGTTGGATATGGTTCGTTCCATGACGAGTCGAGCTTCGCTACAAATCTCATTCTGGGGGTATGCCTTAGAGACTGCCGCCCATATCCTTAATCTAGCCCCTACAAAGAAAGTTACCAAAACTCCTCACGAGATGTGGACTGGTAAAGTACCTAAACTAGACCACATCAAGATTTGGGGTTGTGAGGCTTTCGTGAGACGCGAAACTCATGATAAGATAGAACCCTGAAGCGAGAGGTGTATTTTCATCGACTACCCACAAAAATCCTTTGGTTACCTCTTAAACAGACCGAGTGATAATATGGTCTTTGTAGCAAGAAGAGGAGTCTTTCGTGAGAGAGAATTTATAAGCCAAGGAGACAGTGGGAGGCAAATTGACCTTGAAGAACTTCAAGAGTCAAGCGGTGAAGGAACTTCAAACCCTAGCCCTCAACCTGAGGAGGAAACTCCTGTTGAGCAAATTGACGAGTCTGTACCTCTGAGGCATTCTACAAGGGTTAGGAATGCAACCGAGCATTACTATGGGTTCCATATTACTGCGGAGGGTGATACACTTATTAGCGATGAGACACTAGTAAGTCTAGATGAACCTAACAGTTACGCGGAAGCCATAGCAGGCCCCGAGTCTGCTAAACGGAAAGAGGCAATGGACAGCGAGATACAATCCATGTATGACAATCAAGTTTGGAACTTGGTTAAGAATGTACCAGGTCGTAAGACTGTAGGGTGCAAATGGATCTTCAAGAAGAAGACCGACATGGATGTAAATGTACACACTTATAAGGCACGGCTGGTTGCAAAGGGTTTTTCTCAAACTCCGGGAGTTGATTATGATGAGACCTTTTCTCCAGTGGCCAAGATTAAGTCTATTAGGGTTATGTTAGCCATAGCCGCTTTTCATGACTATGAAATTGTTGGAATAGTGTCTAAGGCTGCAACTATATTAGGCAAGTATTTGACCCGATTGTGCATGGTCCTTTTGGGTTGCCTTCACCATAGCAACTTGACAGGATGATTTATTATGAGAGAAT